ATAGAGTAATGATCTATTTGAATAATCAATCATATGTAATGAATTTTGTTGCATGTAACACAACCTATATCGGTACACAGAAATGTAAACAATAAATCATTTAAGATAAATCTCGTGGCATGCACCGGCCTTTATGAACATTATGGAATGTACGTCCCCTCCAACTCCCAAACAAAAAACCAAGCTATACCCATGTCATGAATTCGTTCAGTTTAATAAATTTTATGTAGGTCGTATTGAATACTATACTATATTATAGTATACAGGATCTATAATGTACAACTCGTATAGTCTAGACTACTTAATACACACAATATATTTCATGACGATGGCTTGAGATATCTAAAAATAAAGTCATGGGTGACATAACACCAAACATTATCCTGGTATTAGAGACTTATATCCACACCACGTGGACCCGAAATGGAGTAGATCTGATGGTTTATTCTATATAATAGTTCTGTATATACTCACTCAAATTCAGAATCCTCTAATCTCTATTTGATCTTTATTCTAAATACAGTCGGGACAGAACAAGCCCCGTTTTAAGATGGCTGACAAGGAAGTATATTATATTTATGGACTCGAAATGGAATATATCTGATGGTTTATTCTATATAATAGTTCTGTATACTCACTCAAATTCAGAATACTCTAATCACTATTTGATACTTATTCTAAATACAGTCGTGACAGAACAAGCCCCGTTACAGGATGGCTGACAAGGAAGTATTTTATATTTATGGACTCGAAATGGAATATATCTGATGGTTTATTCTATAAAATAGTTCTGTATACTCACTCAAATTCAGAATCTCCAAGTCCCCTATTCGAACCTTATTTAGAAATATTAAAACAGAACTTGAATCATGATCCTTATTTATATAGATCTATAAAGATGGCTGACAAAGAAGTATTTTGTATTCTTAGTTTTGGTTTCGTATGCTGTGTCATGTTCTTGTAGCGATAATATGGACAATATTTAACGTTGCTAAAGGATCATGATGCTTGGAACGAATATTAGAAGCGGAATGTTATACATCATTAATGAATTATCGAACTTGTTTTTGAAGCTACGGTGGCTCATTAATTTTCTATCTTCAGATTGACGAGCTAATGAAAACGTCGTCTTATACCTTGATTGCAATATCCATCTCTCATGTATATTGTAACATAAATTATGTAAATAATCTTTTCTGATAGGACAATGAATTGAAGATTGTTGACAGTTGCGATGGGCTATAGGCTGTGTATGTTAAAGATTGTTGACAGGTAGAATGGGCTATAGGCTGTGTATGTTAAAGATACTTGACAGGTAGAATGGGCTATAGGCTGTGTATGTTAAAGATAGTTGACAGGTACGATGGGCGATAGGCTGTGTATGTTAAAGATTGTTGACAGGTAGAATGGGCTATAGGCTGTGTATGTTAAAGATAGTTGACAGGTATGATGGGCTATAGACGGTGTATGTTAAAGATAGTTGACAGGTACGAAGGGCGATAGGCTGTGTATGTTAAAGATAGTTGACAGGTATGATGGGCTATAGACGGTGTATGTTAAAGATTGTTGACAGGTATGATGGGCTATAGACTGTGTATGTTAAAGATTGTTGACAGGTATGATGGGCTATAGATTGTGTATGTTAAAGATTGTTGACAGGTATGATGGGCTATAGACTGTGTATGTTAAAGATACTTGACAGGTAGAATGGGCTATAGACTGTGTATGTTAAAGATTATTGACAGGTATGATGGGCTATAGGCTGTGTATGTTAAAGATTGTTGACAGGTATGATGAGCTACAGGCTGTGTATGTTAAATATTGTTAACAGGTAGGATGGGCTATAGACTGTGTATGTTAAAGATTGTTGGCAGGTATGATGAGCTACAGGCTGTGTATGTTAAATATTGTTGACAGGTATGATGTGCTATAGGCTGTGTATGTTGAAGATCGTTGACAGGTATGATGAGCTATAGGCTGTGTATGTTAAAGATTGTTGACAGGTAGGATGGGCTATAGATTGTGTATGTTAAAGATTGTTGACAGGTATGGTGGGCTATAGATTGTGTATGTTAAAGATTGTTGACAGGTAGAATGGGCTATAGACGGTGTATATTATACTTATAGATTGTTAACAGGTATGATGAGCTATAGACTGTGTATGTTAAAGATTGTTGACAGGTATGATGAGCTACAGGCTGTGTATGTTAAAGATTGTTGACAGGTATGATGTGCTATAGGCTGTGTATGTTGAAGATCGTTGACAGGTATGATGAGCTATAGGCTGTGTATGTTAAAGATTGTTGACAGGTAGGATGGGCTATAGATTGTGTATGTTAAAGATTGTTGACAGGTAGAATGGGCTATAGACGGTGTATATTATACTTATAGATTGTTAACAGGTATGATGAGCTATAGACTGTGTATGTTAAAGATTGTTGACAGGTAGGATGGGCTATAGATTGTGTATGTTAAAGATTGTTGACAGGTAGAATGGGCTATAGATTGTGTATGTTAAAGATTGTTAACAGGTAGGATGGGCT